AGCTTGTGGAGATGCGAATAATCTTTCTTGCTAATCCACTCCATAAAGCAAGCATTCCATCTTGGGGGCAGGGGTTACAAGGAAATAAACAACTTTTAAGCAGTTACCCTAACCCTGACAGAGACCACAGGTGGTGCTATTGATATAGCCAAGCAAAGTCCAATAAAAATGGAACACCACATTCACATTTTTTGTTAACACTTAAGCAAGTTAAAAACAGCAGAAACTGGAAGTGAATGGAAAAGATATTGACTTTCTATGGTAATTGTGTCTGCACTTCCTTTTGCCTTTTCATGATGAAGTAGCCATAGAATGTTGTTTTTCTTTTCCTGAAGAGAAAGGAAATCACATTACCTTATCAAAAAATGCAGCCAGCTAAAACCCTTCCCTTCCATTCATTTAAATCCCTTTTAGAAAATATAAATGCAATTATGCAAACCACTCTGAAGTCACTAATCATTACTGGAATCAAGACACATATATAACATATTTAGCAAGTTGGACTAGATGATCCCTATGGGTCCCTTCCAACTTAAGGTATTCTATGATATACACACCCACACACACACACATACACAAAAATAACACAGGCATACATTTTTTCTGTATCAAACTACAGCTAAAAAAGATCATTTATAAATTGTTTTTTTTTGGGAAAAACTCAACACCTAACTTTATTATGTAGCATAACCATTCAAGGAGTTTCCATTCAGGATGCAAATCCTCTGTCACTGGTCAGGGTTAGTAACAGTGAATTTGACTATAAAGTTTACCTGAAGTCTCAATTACTATAATCACTGTTCAAATAATTAGTCTGCTCAAAAATAAGAAAAAATATGTATTGAGCCAAGAAACAGGAAGGGGTCAGTGTGGCAGGGGAATAGTGATCCTGAAGAGTCACACAGCCACTGAGAAGGTTGGTCAGTAAACCTTATTAAAAAAAACTCTTTATGCCCATTGAAAAGCAAGGATTCAGCTTCCCTTAACATGGCACACATTTGAGGAAAATGCTTGCACTTTAGTGCAACCAGAAGAGAGAGGAGAAGAAAGTACAGCATGATATAATGAAATTAAACTAAGATTTGAGAGTTAACTGGCAGAAATGTATATCTATATTCACTGATAGACTCTGGAAACCATAGTATAGTCTACATAATAAACTAATTTTTTTTTTTCCCAGCTGCTTCAAGATCTAACTAGTCACCCCAGCTGAGGCCACGGGGAAGGTTTACAGGAGTGCCAACATCTGCTTCTATTCCCATCAATGTCAAATTTGTCAGAACATGAAACTGCACCAGAAAAACAATCTGTGTCATAGAAAAATAAACTCTACTTCCATGAATATCCCCTGAAGTACCAAGTGTAGCAGATCTATTACATTTCCAATTTCGATTACAAAATAAAGTTTCTTTCAAAAAAACATATATGTACATTTAAACATATATATACATATAAATAAATATATATATATATATATTTATCCAGTGTTGTGTACATGCATCCTAAAATTCTTCATGGCCTGGTTTGCCTTTACTGGCCAGTCCATCAGTGCAAATCACAACCATAAAAATTAAGCTTTAGACCAAGTAACAAGGTGACAAATTAAACTAGCCACTTTTTGGCAACTCTTCACTATTAAATACTTTTTAAGTTTCTCAGCAACTTCCACCTACGGTTTTACTGGTCTCTTTACTACTGCTGTGTTGAGGTTTTAAGTGAATACCCTAACTTACAAAGTAAATGAAACCTCACATGAAAACATTACATAAATTTAGAAAAAAAAATAAAATCAAAAAGATTTTTTAAGACTTTCTTCGTCTTCTTCTTCTTTTTTTCTTTTGCTCTAGTTAGCTAGCCATAGAACAGAATCATTAAGGTTGGAAAAGACCTCCAAGATCAAGTCCAACTGGTAGCCCAGCGCTGCTACATTCACCAATAAACCATGTTCCCAGGTGCCACATCTACATGTTTTTTGAACACTTCCAGCGATGGCAATTCCATCACATCCATGGGCAGCCTGTTCCAATGGCTGATCATCATTGTAGTGAACAAATTTTTCTTAATGTCCAATCTAAACCTCCCCTAGTGCAACTTGAGGCCATTTCATTTTGTCTTGTCAATTGTTACCTGGGAAAAGAGATTAATCCCCACATTGCTACAACTTCATTTCAGGTAGTTGTAGAGCGCGATAAAGTTTCCCCTCAGTCTCCTTTTCTCTAGGCTAATTATGCTTATACAACAAAATATGACATTTTCATTATGTTTACACAGATCACAGTAAATGTACACACTCTGTCATTTGCTGTAAAGAATGAAATAGACAAGGTACATATTATTAAAGTCAGAATTTTTTTAAAAGTATCTTTATCACAAACACTCAAGGTAATATTAGTTATTGAGTTACACAGTTTGGATAACATAGAATTATTTTAGATAAATATTTACCAGTTGCCATTTTTAGTCCCCTCCAGAAAGAGGATTTTGCTAAAAAAAAGGATTCCCCTCTACCCTTGCAAGTACAGCTTCTCCTTCATTGGAAAACAAAGATTTTGCCAGAGGAAGATGGTATGATCACCAGCAAGATCACCCAGAAGCAGAAAAAAGCCCAACTGGTAATTTAGCGAGTAAAGAACCAATTGCTCATAACAGAAATCTCATATCTTAGCTTATAAAAAAACCCCATCTATCTATAGATACAGTTTTCAAAGACGTTTTAGTGTCTTATGGAAATTCTTCCATCACCAGATTTGCTTCTTTTAAGAAATGCTAAATGCTAACAAGAACAAACTCTCTGGTATTGCAACGACACTCCAAATTTTATAAGAAATGTCTGAAGGAAAAGCATAAGCCTTTTCTTCATAATTTCCTGTGCATGCCTCCTCCTTCCAACACTGCTGCAACTACTTGGTGACTTAAGTTTATCCACCTCACATATGTTTACATACCTCACTCAAATGGGCCCAAAATTGTTATTGCTCAGTATCACTGATGTCTCAACAGACTATGCTACTAAAGTTTATTACTGGAAGATTCAGGAGATACGAAAGAATAATATTAATACAACCAGACCTTTCCACTCAGATTTGTTTTGTGATGACTGCAGATGTAAAACAATATACTGTATGTGCACAGCATAAAGCCAAAAAGAGGTGAATGAACTCACATGGAAATGACTACTCTGCTACTTCTATCTAATAAAATAATCAATATATCAAATCTTCTGCTTTGTACCTAGAGTTGTAGACTTTTGACAGAATATACAAACCAAGCTGCTCCTCACTACACTGATGATAAGCGGAGGATGAAAAATCAGAGGAGTATGGAGAAAAAAAAACTTTAAATAACCAACCAGAAATTTGTTCTCAGTGAGACTTTAATTCCAATATAAACTGAAGAACCTAAATAAATGTAACATATAATAGATATGTTTCCATTGTATGGAAACCAGCAAAGCACTTCCCATGTTGACAAAGATGAGTAAAGTCACTTCCTCCTCATAACCTCTTCATTCTCCAGCCATCCACAGGGTTTCTTTCATTCATCTAAGCGAATATCCTATTTCCTATTTCCTATGAACTACAGTGAAAACTGCAGGTACTTTGTGCGAACTGTTAGGGAGACTGTAACTGGCTTCAGCTTCTCAATCCTAAAGGAAACATGGGTTCTACAACAATGAGCTCCACTGAGGATGCTGAGGTGACCTGGAAGCCTAACTCTTAACTTTGACTGGAAGGTCAACCCCTCATGTTGCTCTCTACTTTAACAGGACATCATAGAAAACAGGATAACGTTTGGACAGAGAAATACTCAGTGCTGGGACCTCACACTGGTGGTGGAGGTCACTTCAGACGAGCTCTAGTCTAACTCCAGGAACCGCACGTTCATTAGCAGCCAGATATGCTCCTACAGAAAATCTTCAAAGACAATCACACAGCCTCTTTCTCAAACATACATCTTAAACTTTAAAAAACAAAAAGAAAACAGAAAAAAGAAAACATGTTGGACCACTTACCATTTTTCATGGTTCTGCTGAGGATAAACATATGGAGAAAATAAGCTACTCTGTAGATCCTATTTCACCCCAGTCTCTGTGCTTTTACTCTCTCTGTCACAGCCAACTTTAGAATTTCCTCTTTCATGATAATACGCAAAAAGTTCACAGTTCTCAAGGCAGCAAAGCAGGAAGTTTGCAGCTGGAAGGATTTCCCCTCTTCAATGGGACAGGGGAGGAGAGAAAAGTACGATGGGGCTACTGTGAAATCTTTTGCCAGCTGAAGCAGCTGATTTGGACATAGTTATCACAACAGAGTCCTAAGTGATGCTACCGAGACCAGGCACAAATTAAACACTGCCCGCATCTGTTTTGCAATAATTTGTCACTTTGGCTTTTTGAGAGAGTGGGAAATCCTGCCTTTCCGACTACGGCACCAATAATCCTATCAACAGTGATAGTCAAATGCAGAAGGAAGCTAAAACTGCCTCACCGCAGCTCACCAGGACGTGCTACCTTCGCAGCTGACCCCGTATCACAAGACAGGAGTGAACGCCACATGTGGCTTTAATGCCAAGCAGCTGCTTCCCACCAGCGCTCCCCCTGTCCTCCTCCTTCCCCCCTGCACCGCTGGGTTTCTAGGACTATCGCAAGGAAAGGAATCGCGGCGCCCTAAAATGAACGCAAGTCCCCACACCCGTGGCAGAGCTAAACCCAAACGCATCAGATCCCCTCCCCTTCCACGCCCGGAGATGCGAGATCATCGGTGCCAAACTGCGGCTGGAGGGGTGGGGAGTGGGCAACGCACGACCCACCGCCCTCGGCCATTTCAAAACCTGTTACTCTCCTTCCCTTTTAATCAAAAGCCCAGGGTAAGACCCTCTCCCGGCTGCGAGTGCCGCCGTCCCGCCGCCCGCCGCGCTGGGCACCGCCTCTCCCGGCTTCCCGGGCAGCTGAGGGAGCGCGCGCGGGGCGGGCGAGGAGCGGCTCCCCCATTCCCTGCGCTCACCGACACCAGGAACTCCAGCGTGCCCACGTAGTCCCGCTCGGTCTTGAGCAGCTCGTTGAGGACGCACACGCGTAAGCGAAGCTGCTTCTCCAAGTCCTTCCCGCTTTCCCCCTTGCCTTCCCCTTTGCTTTCCTCTGTCATGGTGCAGCGCGGAGGGTCGGCGTTCCCAGCCCGGCGCCGTTCCCGGAGCGCCCCGGCGCTGCGCTGCGCTGCGGGCGAGGACAACAAAAGACCCCGCCAAGTAACACGGCGGGGCCGGGCTCGGCCGGTCCCAGCCGCGCTGCAGCCGCAGCCGCAGCCCCAGCTCACCCCGCTCCCGCGGCCGCCCGAGGTCCGGAGGCGAGCAGCCACCCCAGTGCGCGCTCCTTTCCCGTCAGGAAGGGAACACAGCCTGAAGGAAACGAGCGGTCACTGGTTCCCAGCTCGCCCTGCTAGCTGAGAGGTTGGAAAGCCTCCGCAGCGGCAGACTTGGACATTAATCAAAAGCTTTGTATCCATGTGACTCCAGCCCCTTCCCCCCCTTCGCTAAATCTCAGGAAAAAGGAAAGGAAACAACTTCAGGGAGCATTGCGTGCCAGCAGCTGCCTGTTTCACACACAAGCTGCGAGCTCCAGTTTGAGGCTAATTGGAGTTCTCCAACAACAGAAAAAGAATTATAAAAATGTCCCAAGCAAGCTGGCTGGCCAGGGAATCAGCAGTTGTTTTTGTTTTGTTTTAATCATCAGCGAAGAGCCATTTCAACTTTCCAAACCTTCCCACAAGATGTATATTACACTGTATATTGCAACTGATGCATATTATAAATACGAGCTTTTATATTCTGAAAAAATATGCAGAGCTAAGGATGTGCTGAGCAGGTACAGAAAAGTTATTTCAAGGTTGGGGGGAGGGAGGTGTGGGGGGTGTTAGGTTGTCTGGTTTATTTGTTTGTTTATTAAAACAAAGTGCTGGAAAATCCCCAGGTTATACAGTTTTCCTCTTTGCTTTCAAAGTTTAGATTTGCATGATACATTAAAAGAATAAGAAATAATTCAGTAGCTATTTTCAAACAGTTAGCAAAAGGTATAGAGCTACTTTAGACAAGGGGAACTGATTTCCTGAAGACTGCAATATGTCAGGACGCTACCATGTGAATTTTAAGCCTACTGATGAAAGCTGAAGTTTTCTTTGGCTCGCTCTTCAGTCTATGACTGGAAAGAAAATCCAGGTCTTCAACTTCTAGATTCTGTATCATCTATCTTTCTAAACCTGCAACATCCTAAAAGGACAGAATAAAATTAAAACCTGAGTGTAAAACTCTTCTACAGCTGCAATATGAGTCTTTTAGAGGGAGAGCACAAGCAATGACATTTGTGTTCTGATAACTAGACATCATCTAGCTGTCTGCCACAGACATCTTTTGGGAAACAGAGAATACCCTTCCCACAAGATGTTTCCCAAAGAGCAGAAAAAAATTTAAAAAAAAAAAGGAAGAAAAAAAAAAAAGAAAAATAATTCTTTGAATGTGACCTACTTATCTGCATCCTCCCCTTCCCAAACACAGTCAGCTCACTTGCATAAAATTCTAAGCAAGAAGCAGCAGTTGCTGGAACCAATTCTGCTATGTATCCTTCTCAGCAATTTATGCATGTGCAGATTAGCCTTCAAAGTTGCCTACTGACCTCAGCATAGCTCCTTTGTCAATATGGCACTAGTACATTTTGAAAACAGACACCAATTTTTGTGAAAATCAGAACTTTATGTTTTTGAAGACCTCACTACTCTGCTAAATCTGGTTCAAATGAACTAATGGGTTGAAAAAGCCAACACAGCTCAACCATTGAAGCCTCTTTCTTTAGAAAACCTGTCTAAAAGAGACATCATGTCTGGTGATAAGCTCAGAACTTTTTTACCCTCTCAGTGGGCTTTGTCAGTGAAGCTCTGTCCCAAAGTCCCAAGGTTCTGTGATATCTGCCCTAATCCTACAGAGGAGATTAGGTGCTTCACAATTGCTTGCATTAGCACCAAGAAGGCTGATGCTATGTTGGAATGACAAAAAAAGAGTGACCCACTGAAACCATGATGAAGTTTTCTCAAGGGGTAACCAGAAAAAGAATTCAAAACCACTGGAATAGAACACCACACTATTGCTTTCCTGCTCCTAAACAGATGTGGGTGACCTTCTTCAGATAGTCATACTCAGATGCCTCAAACTTGGTAAATTTCATGTCAAGAAGCACCCCGTCTTTCTTTTAGGAAAGCAGAAATAAGGGTCTGCTACATTTTTCACTTCAGAGATGTGACATGTGACTCTGCTTCTGACAGGTGCCATTAATTGTCACAAGGCGCATGCACACTCATAGACTGAGGTGACAGCTAAAAGAGGCAGGAGCAGCAGCTTACTGTCTTTCTTTCCATCATCTATAGAAGTAAGTATCCCTTCCCTTCACATGTTTGTACCTCATTGCCACGAGACCTTAAAGCCAAAGTGATCCTTGTCCCACTTTACACTCCTGCTGCCCTCACACAACGCTCCTTCCTTCAGGCAGGCAGCAAAATACAGGCCAGCAAAAGCATAAGTGACAACCCAGAAGAGATTTTTATGACTCACCTAAGGCCTCTGAACCCAGCAAAGCCCACAGCAGATGTGCAATGATAGGAAAAGTCATTCTAAATACTAGACACCAATATGGAAAACATACGTGCCTACAGGCTCAGCCAATTTTCCTGACAACCTGCTTGAAGTAATAAAGACATGGGCAAATTACTCTTTTCCCCTAGTTTCAGGAAAAAGCTGTATTGCTCCAATTGTAGTTTTCACTACACCAAAATTGGGTAAAAAAGAATAAAGTGGAAGAAAGGTAGAATATACAGATGGGATGAAAAAATTTAGCCTGAACAAAATGTCTTAAGCAACTAAACAGCAGATTTTACACTGTAATTGAACACTGGTCTTGAGTAGTAGGTAGCACTACCTGTCTTAAATACAGAAACAAGTTATATAAAACAGTATATTGATTATGCTAGCATGCGGGAAACAGCAGTTCTTGCTCCCTATGTGGAAAGACACGTTTGGAGAAACTGGAGAAATCAGATTGTTCCCATGGGACGTTATAACTTTGGAATGCAACAAGAACTATTTTGGTCCAAGGGTACTTGAGGTCTAAGCTGAATTTCTATTTAGAGTCCTGTTGAAAAAAATATGGCAGCACACAACTTTTGATCTATTCACAAAACCACATAGGACAGGTGGTCTAGCCAGGTTTTGAGTTACTCCACAGATAAAGCTCTTCAACCTCTCTGGGAAACCTGTGCCAGTGTCTGGCCAGTGTTCTGCAGTAAAAATAAATAAATCAATAAAGTCTTCTCTTGTGTTCAATCAGAATTTCATGGTTTTTAATGTATGCCCATTGCCTCTAGTCCTGTCAGCTGGCACTGCTGAGAAAAGCTGAATACCCTCTTTTGTCATTTTCTCCCATCGAGCCTTTAGAAACTTGGATAAGATTGCCCATGAACCCTCCCCCTTGCAGGCTGAACAGTTAGTGCCATGGTCTAGTAACCACGGCAGTGTTGTATCAAGGGTTGGACTTGATGATCTCGGAGGTCTTTTCCAACCCAGTTGATTCTATGATTCTGTGATCTCCCTCAGTCTCTACACATATGTAAAATCATCCATTCCCTTAATCATCTTTGTAGTCCTGATGACCTGGAACAAATTTCTGGGTATTAAATACCTTATACATGACAGATGATAGCAATTAAAGTTCAGTGATCTGCCATGACACTTATTTACTCTATGGGAAAACCACATGAATTTGTTTCTGAATTCCTACTGAATAATGGCTATCAGTGTAAGACAGCTCCAGTATCACACAAGAATGAAATCAAGTGTTCTACAGGTCACATTATCTTGTATCAGAGCACTGCAAAGGACTCCTCAGTCCAACTGGGAATTTAATGTTGTCTTCTTTTCAGACAGAGCTGAAATAAGTTTCTGATATTGAGAAAAAAAAAAAAAAGAAGAAGACAAAAACTCCATAGGAATTATTAAGAGACCCATCCAAGAGATGTGATTAACAAACACTAAAAAAGTTCACCACAATAAAAACGGTTTCTTTACAGGTGGCTCTAATACCATATTGAGCAATGAGAAGGTTTATATGCATGGGACTAGGTGTAAATGAAGCAAGTGTGGAGGGTAAGTAAATTGCAAAGTTCACTTCTGACACATTACTGTCTATTTGTTCACCACCAGAGTTACACCAAACCAACTTTGTAGCCACAGGTTTTAAACAGAAGTCAGTATTTGTACGGAATGAACAAAAATAATCAGTTCTGTAATCTTCCTTTTTGACATTTTGGAAGAACGATGGCAGTACTTTAACCACAAAGACATTTAAATGTCCTCAAGCACTGTAAGTTATAATCATTACCGTAATATAATCATCAACATAATGATTAGGTTCATATAATCAAAAGACTTCTATAGGTATTTTGAATATAAGCTGGTCTCCCCCAAACCAGACTTTTTTAACCCCAAACTGCTACAGCATTGCTCTCTGAGTATAAATGCATAGGACTTCACCACACACTTCTTCCACAAGCCTCTTTGATGGTGCGTATCTATCCACAAGACTTTTAATAATTTTATTCCCACCAGCACAAGGGACACAGCAAACATCTGTAGCAAACAAAATCTTAACATCCAGCTTTACTTAGCATGAAAAGGACTACTGCATGATTCAAATCTGATTTATTAAAAAAAAAAAAATCTAAAAGGATACAGAGAGATTATAACTCCTTAGAAATGGGATTATTTACAATTCATTTAAAGAAATGTATTTGACTTTTCCTGTAGGGGTCGATTTTACCTTTAAGAAAGCCTGCAGCAAAAGACACCTAAGTCTTACAATGACAAGTGCTCCCTACAGATATTTTTTCTTTAGAAGGCTATCTAGCGTGAGCCAGCACACCTCCAGAATCTCAAGACAGGAGTGCAGTTAGTTCAAGTATCTATTGACTTTAAATTAGTATTAAAACAATGTGTACTAACACAAGTGCATGGCGAAATCTCCTCAGGAAACTCTAATTAATTCAGCAATAAACTGACGGTCCCATGAAGCCAGCATTACAAAGTAAAAATGGTCTCCAGAAGGTTCCATACCATCTTAGTGTACCCTGATGAAATCTAGTTAAACTAAAACTTCACCTTATGTAGTATCT